CTGATGGAAGGGTTTGCATGGATGTGCTGTGCATCAGGTTCCTGCTATAAATATTGCATGGCTAATTACACCCAACTGATCTGTGACGTTCGTTTACGGTGCTTAATTAACAGAGGGGTTTAACACCAATACAGGTCACAGCTCTTTCCTTAAATACCCAAGAGAGGGAACCTCAAAGCACAGTTTTATTGATGATTTTCTTACTGGGAGATGAAACGTAAAATCAGGCCAATCATTATTTTACTGTGAATAACGAAATGATCTGGAAATTTCTGCTCAATTATTTCTTGGGCAGAATTTCATCCAGAGATTTGTCATGACAAAACAAGCCAGCATAAGAATCATTTGTGTGGTTTTTTGGGTATTTTCTGTTACAGAAGAAATTCACTCATGTGTGGCTTTCCTTGTACCCATTCAGTGATTCAAGAAATTTGTATTTTATATTATTATTTATATTTTGTATAATAGCTTAAAAAAAGTTAATTTAAAGGCTTTTTTTTTAATAGATGATGTGAAAATGGTTGGGAAAAAAAAAAAGGTTTTATATGCTCTTAAAATCTCTTAAAAGAAGTTGGCCCAGTCAAAAGAAAATAAAAAAGTCAAAGAAGGCCCAGATGTGACCCCTGGAAAAGGCACATCCAACAAAGCCTTTAATGCCCCAGGGGCTTTATTGCTACAGCAACGCCTGTGGGGCAGATGGGGGATTTACTCCCAGGGGGATCTTTGGTGCAGGATGGGAACAAATCAAGTTGTCCTTCTGCAAAATTATTCCATCTCCTTGAAGCATTTTTTGCAAATTAAATGGTGCTATTTGGAAAAAAGGCTGGGCAGAGTGATGCTTGGAGGGGGGATGATATTTGTCCAGGTTCCTCAGGGAGAGGGAAGTGCCAATGCTTTGTTTTTCCTTAGGAGAGAAGGAGGAATTATTCATTTTAGTGTCCAGATGGGAGGGTCACTCTGGAGCTTTCCCATTTCCAAGCTGGCAGTGGGAACTCACAGCTTTTCACAAGAAAAACAAAATAAATCCCAAAATCTTTGGGATTGACTCAGTTTTTCACCCTCTGACCTCACACACCTTGGGAGGGAACGTCTCCTAACCCTGGGATGACCCTGGAGCTGCTGGCTCTGGAATTTTATTTAAATTTAATTAAATTTTATTCAAATTTCAGCTCTGGGATTTTATTGAAATTTATTTTATTTAATTTCTGCTGTTATTATCATGTGGCTGGGGCTGCCTCAGGGGATCCTCTGCCAGCAGGGAAAACGTTCCCAGGACACTCGGCAATCCCAGTGAACCTGAAAAGGCTTCCCAAACCTTTGGAGTTTTAAATCAGATGTGTTTGGGGGGAAAATTTGGTGTTTTCAGCCAGCTGGACCTTTTTTCTCAGGACACCCTGAATGAAAAGTTAAAAATGGTTCAGATAAGGGCAATGAAATGGTTTTATGAGGGTTTTTTAGGCTCTCATAGCACTTAAGTTCTCTCTGATTAAAATCCTCTTCTGAGATGTGTCAAAACTTCTGCTTCCAGAGAAGGTAGAGGGGTTTGGGCTGGTTTTGGAGGGTGAGGTGCCAGGGAGCCCCAAAATCTCAGCTCTCCAATTCAGGTAGTTCCTTTGAGTTGCTTCTGCTGACCTTGTTGCCAAATTTTCTAAATTCAGGCATTAACTGAGACCAGGGCTGGGTTGTTTAGACCTGGAACTGCAGGTGCTGGGTGCTTTTCCTGGGGCTGGGGCTGTGCTCCCAGAGAGAACAGAGGAGTCACAGGGATTTGGGATGCTCCAACCCCAGCCACTCCGTGGATCCCTGCCCTCAGCTTCCAGCTCTGCCATGCCAGTGGCACAAAGAGAGCAGGGGCAGGGCGTGTTCTCACTAAATGGGATTGTTCTGATGGAATCCTGGAATGGTTTGGGTTGGAGGGACCCTAAATCCCACCCCGTGCCATGGCAGGGACACCTCCCACTGCCCCAGGCTGCTCTGCCCTGTCCAGCCTGGCCCTGGGCACTTCCACAGCTTCTCTGGGCACCCTCATTTATTTCCTGATGTTCTTGAACATTCTCTCTTCAGCCTCTTTATTGATCCTGCTCCCGTATTTGCCAGGGCTCATACCCTGGGCTTTGTAACCATCCTTCTTTTTAGGGATCTAAGGCTGTTTTTATTGGGTAGCAGAAAGCAAAACCCAAGAGAAGGAGCAGATCCATCACTAATGTGATGCCATTAGGGAGAGGATTATCTCAGTTTGGTAGAAGGAAATTGGGGTTTCTGTGTCCCTCAGGCTCCTTCCATGACCCAACTAAATAAATTGTTAAAGATCATCTCCTGTAATACGCTTACACCTCCAAAGCCAAGGTTTTGACAGTGCTTTTTCCTTGCAGTGTGTTCTGGAGAGAACATTCAGAACAAACTCCTGGAGGCACAGGGAGGTCTGGGTTGGAAAGGAGCCTGAAGCTGTTCAAGAGGGGATGGGGAGGGTTTGGGTGAGGAGCAGCTTCTGCTTGGCCAGAGCACACAAAGGGCAATTCTGCAGGGTTTCACGCAGGCTTTACTTGTTAGAAATCCACATTGTAGCTGTCTATGGGTTTATCCTGACTTTTCAAACAGCATCACCAGGGTTTCATCAGGCAGAGGAATCTTGTTAGAAAATGTGCATCCAAAGCAGTTCAAGAGGAGAGAGAGGATAATTGCAATTTTGGTACTTTATACGTTAAATTTAAATACTGGGAACCAGAATGGGTATTCTTACACATCTATTTACACATCAAAAATGAAAATTTTAATATATAATATTAATATAATTACATCATATCACAATTTATACTATTATAATTCAATAAAATAAATAATTTGATAACATATAATATTATAACTATAATATAAAATAATATTATGGTTATTATAATAACTATAAAGTTATAGCTATATATATAGCTATAAAATAACTATATTGTTACAGTTATTATAATAATATTATAGTTATAATAATATGAGTAATATATATTACATTACATTACATTACATTACATTACATTATTATATTATATTATATTATATTATATTATATTATATTATATTATATTATATTAATAATATACTCTATAATAATATAATATGGTATATAATGTATAAAATATTATTATATTAATATATAATTATCATTTTCTAATTAGTTTTAAAGTTTTCATTTTCTCTTCCTGTTCTCTCTGCTAAAGCATATTTTGTTTTTTAAAGGGAATCAGTGAGTGCAGGCAGGCTCATTGATTGAGTCCAATAATCCCAGAGCTGTTTTCCTGCTCCTGACCTATTTTCTGAGGAGCTGGTACACCCTGCAGCTCTGGGTTAGAGGGGAGCTGGGCAGGTAATTTAAGGTTCCCCATTTGTGCACGTTCAGGCCAACCCGTGCTAATCCCAGAAGGGCCCTTTCAGTGTCCCAGCACGGGGTGGCCTGGCTGGGACAGGGTGTTTTGTGCAGGAGAAAGTGTTTGGGTGGAAGTGGGGCAGTTACACAAGGCCTGAGCCCAAAGCAGGTCACCCAGCTCTGCCCTGGATGCTAAATTTGGCTCTGGGCTGTCCCTGGCCCCAGCAGCACTGCCAGGCTCCAGCAGGGCTGAGCTCCTCTCGCAGCACCCAGGGCTCTGGGGGGACATTCCTGGGAAATTCCTCACTGATCCTGCTGCCTGTGCTGGGATCCCACAGTCCCAGAAAGGTTCGGCTGGGAAAGGACCTTAAATCCCATCCCATCCACCCCTGCCATGGCAGGGACACCTCCACTGTGCCAGGGTGCCCCAATGTCCAGCCTGGCCTTGGGCACTGCCAGGGATCCAGGGGCAGCCACAGCTGCTCTGGCAATTCCATTAGTTTGGGATTTGTGTGTTTTAGGGGTTGTATTTGAATGGTTTTGAATCTCTAGGTATTGAGGTTGTATTTGAGTAGGTTTGAATTTGTAGGGTTTGGGCTTCTATTTGAGTGGTTTTGGGTTTGTAGGTTTTGGGGGCTGTATTTTGATTGGTTTGGGGGGTTTAGTTTGAGTTTGGGGTTTCATTTGAATGGTTTTAGGGATTGTATTTGAATAGTTTTGAATTCGTAGGGTTTGGGGGCTGTATTTTGATTGGTTTTGGGGGTTTAGTTTGAGTTTGGGGTTTGTAGGTTTTAGGGTTTGTATTTGAATGGTTTTGAATTTGTAGGGTTTCGGGGTTGTGTTAGAGTGGTTTTGGGTTTGTAGGTGTTGGGGGTTGTATTTCCATTGGTTTTAGGGGTTTAGTTTCAGTTTTGGGTTTGAAGGTTTTGGGGTTTGGATTGGAGTGGGTTTGCATTTGTAGGTTTTAAGGGTTGTATTGGAGTAGTTTTGAATTTGTAGGTTTTGAGAGTTATATTTGGATTGGTTTTGGGCGTTTAGTTTGGGTTTGGGGTTTGTAGGTTTAGGGAGTTGTACTTGGATTGGGCTTGGGGATTGTAGTTTCATTGGGGTTTGGAGGTTTTGGGGGTTGTAGTTTGATTGGGTTTGGGTTTGTAGCATTTAGGGGTTGTATTTTGATTGGGTTTGGGAGTTGGAGTTTGGAGGTTTTGGGGGTTGTAGTTTGAGTTTTGGAGGCTGTAGTTTGATGAGTTTGTGGTTTGTAGGTTTGAGGTTTGTCGTTTGATGGGTTTGGGATTTGAGAGCTTTGGAGATTGTAATTTGATTAGTTTTGAGTTAGTGGGGTTTGGGGATTGTAGTTTGATTAGGTTTGTAGTTTTTGGGGCTGTACTTTGGTTAATTCTGGGTTTGTAGGGTGGAGTTTGATTTGGTTTGGGTTTGTAGGTTTTGGGGTTGTTTGAGTTGGAGGTTTGTAGGTTTTGGGGTTGTACTTTGGTTGATTTTTGCGTTGCAGGACAATATTAGACCAAGCCTGATCAGCGCTGCACTCTCAGAACCGTGTGGGCTGAACAAGGACAGCACCTCCTCCTGTTTCACTCATGTTCAGTGGTCTGGCAGCTAATTAATCCTTAATCCATTTAATTTCTGTCTTGTTTGTGTAACGCTGAAATGCTTGAATTGAGCCCTTGTGCAGGGGGCAGCTGCTCCTGAGATAAACCCGAACAGACCCTTATCAGCCCCGTGGTTGTCAGTGCAGTGCTCCTCTGCTCAGGTGACACCTGGGCACTGAACTGGAACCAGGGCTGCTGTTCCTCTTGCTTTTCACACAAAGAATTCCGTGTTTTGAGTCTGTGTTCTGGCCAGGCTTGAGGTAAACAAATTATTTACAACCTGCCAGATCAAAATCATCCTAAAGCCCTCTTGTGACAATTCTTTTCCTCACTGTTTTTACTAAGCCTTCTCCTAAGGCACCTTTAGTTAAAAAATCCAGACTTGGAGTTTCTTTGGATATCTTTACGAATGGATGGTTTAAGCATCAGCATCTGTGTGAAATTGGTGTTGAAATGATGATGATGATGATTAATGACAAAATTTGTTAATAGTGCACAGTTTGCTTTGCCTGCTGCAGGATCCCCAGCTCTGTCAGGGATCAGTCTTCAAATTCCTGCAAGGTAGCTTTGGATCTTGCTTCCAGAAATATCTTCAGACAAGCCAATCTCTAATTATAAAGTCATTTTTCTGACCCTCTCTAAAGGTACCTCGTGTAATTTCAGTGATTGAGGAATCCAGGGATTCATCTGCCAGAACTGCCAAAAAATAATTGTTGTGTTCAGATCCTCCATGTCCAGGTCCACTGTGCATGTTTAACAGGGATGGTTGCCTTTTGAACAGCAGATTTATATCATGAGAAGTTGATTCAGAGTCTGTGGGAAGTTGTGCAGGAGAACCAAACCCTCATCCCTGTTGGGAACAGCCCTGGGTGTGCCCCTGGTAACCTGTGCCCTGTGTCCCCAGGGAGACTGCAGCTATAAGCAGGAGCTCCAGCCTCACCTCAGGATGGAAGATGTGAACATTCCAGGGAACAAAAGGAGAGCTCGCTGCTCCAGGAAAGACCTGGCAAGATCCAAACCCAAACCATTCCCTCCTGATGCAGGTGACGACGAGAGTGAGTTCTTTGCCACCTTTAAAAGAACCAAAGCCAAGGCTCCCAGAAGAGCCCCTGGGCTCAGTGAGGAAGTGCCTGTGGTGCCTCAGGATCCCCCTGCCCCTCCCTCAGGAACAAGGCTGGCTGTGCCTGGACCCTCTCACCCAGGCAGTGACAAGGACGAGGGGATGGAGGTGACATTTGATTTAAATGCATTTATTGACCTGTGTGACAGCAGTGACAGCTCTGAAGGCCCTGCCAGTCCAGCAGCACAGAACAGCCCTGCAGGTGAGGCCTGTGGGGCCCTGGGGAGGATCCACAGGGACTCAGGGTACGAGACCTCCCCTGTGGCCTCAGACCTGTTCTATCTCCCTGAATCCTGCAGGGATTCCTTCACCCTGCCAGGGCCGCCCCAGGAGCCCCCGGGGCTGGAACAAACATTTTCCCAGGTGCAAAGGCTTTTGTCACAGTCCCCTCCCTCTGGGGATGAACTGGAGGGTTTGGAGAGCCTGGTGAGAGAGGAGGGAACAAGATCTTCTCCAGAAGTTCTCCCTGATGGTCGCTCAGAGGCACTGCAGGACAGCGTCTCCCCCACGTCCCCAAAACCTGATCCTTCCCTGCTGCTCCTGGTGAATCCCAAAGCGGCACTTCCCAGGGAACTCTGTGCCTCAAGAAGTCCCCATTTGTCCAAAACTGTGTCATCTGCCAAGGCTGCTGCTGTTGAAGAGGAGCAGCTCTGGAATGACAGCTTTGATGGCCTGTTCGACAGTGAGGAGTTCCCTGAAATCCCAAACAACGCTCCCCTGGCAAACGGCCCTGCAAAGGAGCCTTTCCTTCCCAAGGCCACAGCAGAGGCTGCCCTGGCAGTTCCTGGTGAGGAGCAGAGTCTGCATTTGTTTGAGGATGAGGCTGGTGAGGACACGGGCGAGGGCAGCCCCGTGAGCACGGAGCCTCCAGCTGGGACCATCCCTGGGGCAGAGGGGCAGCCAGGCAGGGCCCTGCCCCGTGTGAGCCCCACCCAGCCCTGCAGGGAGCCCATGGGGACAGCAGCAGTGGCCCTGGAGCAGGATGATCCCTACGACTGCTCCCAGGACCTGTTCTCTGTCACCTTCGACCTGGGCTTCTCCCTCGAGGACAGCGGGGACGAGAGCCCTGAGGAGAGCAGGAGTGCTGGTGAGCCCACGCCCAACAGAGCCCTGGGGAGTGCCAGCACAGCCCTGAGGGATGGCTGCAGGCTGGAAACCTCCCCAGGGTGGGACTGCAGGAGGCTGCAGAGCAGGGACATGTCCACACCACTGTCACACCTGAGCAGGGGCAGTAATGGCAGCGAAGGGGCCGGGGGTGCTCCTGCTGCAGGGGCTGTGCTCGAGTCAGGAGGCAGCAGGAGGGGAAGGGAACCCCCTGAACCTGTGCCTTCAGCACTTCTGACCCCAACGAGCAGGAAGGGTGTGAATATCAAGGCTGTCAAAAGAATCTCTGTGGAAATCTTCTCGAATGCCAGGGAGCAAATTCCAGAGGTGCCTCCTGTAGATCAAGTCAAAGAGAGCCCATGGAGGCAGAACTTTGGGAGATCAGCCTTGGATTCCCCTCCAGGATGGACAGAAAGCCTGGAGAACACCAAACTCCATGGATCCCATGCTGCAGGTAGGAATTTGGTGGGACAGGAGTCAGACCTTCATGGTTTGGAAACAGGATCCAGGATCTTTTGGATCCTCACTTTGGTTTTATGGCTGAGGTGGGAGGGTTGGAAGGAAGAGGAGTAATGGCTGAGATGCTGAAGTTGGGTCAATGAGGGGACATTATTGGCTCCTGTCCCTCCATCCCTTGTCCCCAGTCCCTCTGCAGCTCTCCTGGAGCCCCTTCAGGCCCTGCCAGGGGCTCTGAGCTCTCCCTGGAGCCTTCTCCTCTCCAGGGAACATTCCCAGCTCTCCCAGCCCGGCTCCAGCCCTGGGGCAGCTCTGGGCCCTCTCTGGCTGGGACATTTGCAGCCCCACTGCTGTCACAGGGATTTGTGCCACAAAGTGCTGCCACAACTCTGGCTCTTGCTCAACTTTTAATGGCTTCTTCTCTTGGTGTCCTGCTTTCTCTTCCCTTTTCCTGCCTCTGCTGCCTGGGGAAATCACTTCCCCCAGGGCTCTCCAGGGAAGCAGGATTTATTGTCCATCCCAGCTGGAGATTATCTCTTTTGATTAACAAGGCTGAAGAGAACAATATTTGCCCTGTAGATCAATAAATAATCTCCTTTGGAGGTGCTTTTCTGAGAGAGGCAGGGTCTGATTGCTCAGCTCTAACAAAATTGTGTTGGGAACTGTGCAATTCTGGTGAATGTTGTTTATTCTGTTTTCTGCAGGACCCAGCAGTGACAGCGAGGAAGAGATTGTTTTCCAGAGGAAAAAAAGGATAAAAAATAATGTTTTGAAGTCTCCTGATGTGAGTCTTAGAGGAAAAAAAATAGACAAGAGAAGCAAAATGGCAATTTAAGCAGCCAGACACAAACTCTGTGTGCACTGATGTTGATGTTGTTCCCACAGGGGATGGATGGGAGCGACCTGGAGTCTCCAGCTCGGGTCACCAGGAAACGCCAGCGCCCTCCCAGCGTGGTCAGCAAAGAATGGGGAGAAATAATGGGAGCCCACTCCTGCTTCCCTTCTGTTCCCTCCCAGGGTCTCCACACTTCACAGCATCCCACAGCGGTTTGGGTTGGAGGGACATCAAATCCCGCCCAGTGCCAGCCCTGCCGTGGCAGGGACATCTCCACTGTCCCAGTGTCCAGCCTGGCCTGGGACACTGCCAGGGATCCAGGGGCTTTGGTGACTCTGGAGTTGTTGTTTGACAGCCAGGAAGGGTGAAATAACCTGCCTGCCACAGAGCTTTGAACAAAAAAAAAGCAAATTCATGGCACATTTGAGCTGATTTTTCATCCAGATCCCATTTTCCCGCCCTGGTATTGGAGCTGTCCCTGCCCATGGCTCTGGAGCAGCTTTCAGGTCCCTTCCCACCCTGGGGCAGGCTGGGGTTCAGTGACCCCTGGGACGCTCCCTTCTCACTCTGTGTGTTCCCCTTGCAGTCAGACACCTCCAGTGAGGACAGCGGGGATTTCCAGAGGGGCAGGAGCAGCTCCAGGCCCCGGCCAGGAGGAGCCAAACGTGCCAGGAGCTGTGGGACAGCCAAGGTGGGTGGCACTGTGTCCCCCAGGGACACTGAGCTCAGCTTTGGAGCTGCTGGAATTTGGGAATGCTGGGCAGAGGGGACTGCAGGGCTGGGTGGCAGCTGTGACAGCAGAGAGCAGCTCAGAGGGCAACTCCTGGGATACCCTGAGAGGAGTCAGGGTCCTGTCCAGAAAGGAAAAAAAAAAGTAATAATATTCCAAATTATAGTAAAAATATTATATTATATTATATTATATTATATTATATTATATTATATTATATTATATTATATTATATTATATTATATTATATTATATT